AAACTCAGCGGGCGTTGGCCAGAGGAGCAGCCCTGTCCCCCGGAGCCCGGTGGGCCTGGCGGGGTGGGTGAGGCACGGAGCGGGAGGGCGTCTGAAGCCGGCTCTGCCCTCTGCGCCTCGCTGGCCGCCTGTGCCACGTGCCAGAAGACACGAGACTCGGCAGCCCGACCTGGCCACGGTCGTGCGGCCAGGCGGCTCGTCAGGGAGACCCTGGCCCGGTTCCGTCCGCCCATGCCTGCCTTCCGGCCGTCAGCCGGCCACCTTGGGACCCGAGTGTCCCCTGGACAGAGGTGGCTCCAGAGAGCCCTCTGCACCTCACGTTTGCCCCGGAAGCACGGTCGGAACCTCTGCTCCGTGTCGGCCGCCGCTGCTACCTCTAGGAAAGCCCGTTTGCCGTCTCCAGAGAAAGGCCCCGGGCGGGGTCCCCTCAATGCGAGGCGGGGACGGAGGGGCCCGGACCGGGCTCCGCCACGGGGACGCCGGGCGTAGGGAGCGGAGTGTCGGAACACACGTTCGTGAGTTTGTTCGCCTTCAGTGCGATGTCACCCGGCTTCGGAGAAGCTGTGAGGACACAGCGTCCACGCGCCGGCGCCCTGGGCCTGGACGCCAGCGACTCCCGTCGTCCCGGCTTGCGGGCGGCGGGCGTGACGCCCGAGGGTGTTTTCCCTCGAGGTCTCACCGTCGGTGGTGTCGCTGAATCAGGATGGTCTTGCCGACTGGAGGTCTCGTTCAGATTTCCTGTCGCTCGTCACGAGCACCGGTCATGTGCTGCGTCTGTCACCCGTGTCCGTGTCCTTCCCGGGGGCCTCCTGCGTCCCCTCTGGCCCCGTGCCGCCAGCCTTTCTGGGCCAAGCCGGTGGCCCCTGTTGGGGTTCGGCTCACGCTCCCTATGGTCACACTCGGAGTTGGTCCCTGCACCGAGTGTCGGTCCCCGACCCTGACCTCAGCCTCGGCCCCCGGCCAGGTGGGTGGGTTGCACATTCCGGCCCCGTCACTCTGAGTGGGGGCCTCGCGGGGGGTGCCCTGAGCCCGGCCCATGCTGTTCGCACCAGCCGTCACCCCGTCCGGCGTCCGCTGGCCGTTCTTGCCGGAGTAGTCGCTGGCGATGGGTCCAGTGTGACACTCTCCTGCTCGCCAAGTGCCTGGCATCGTGCGGTGAGGACGGGGCCGGGAGCCCCGCAGCAGCCGCTGGGAATGGAGCCCAGGGGGCAGGTCCACCTGCCGTGGCTCCAGCGACCCGGGCCCCTCCCGGCCGGCGGCTGTGGGCTGAGGAGGGGTCCGTGTGGGTTCTGGGGGGCTGGTCCGCTGGGGGGCGGCGTGCTCCACCTGGCTCTAGGGTGGCCCCAGACACCAGGCTGGCTGCCTGCGCCTGTCCAACGTCTAGTCCCCTGGTGGAGGCTCATGGCCTGGAGCCCTCCAGGCCGGGCCAGTGGACGTGCCTCCCTGAGTGTCCCGTGTGGTGGTGACTTCCTGTCTTCTCATGGGGTCCTGTCAGGAAGTCACCTCACACCCTGATGGGACCTACGCAAGCAGGCGGCCCCCTCCACGTCTACGCTGAGCACCAGGCTGAGGCCCCGGGAAACGCCGGTGGCAGCCTTTGCTTGGCGTCCCTGCTCGGGACCCTCTGTGGGGTCAGGCATAACTCAGAACGCCCCATGGCGGGGCGCTGGGCCCTCCCCTGCGGTGGCCGTCCTCTGACGCCTGGCACGTGGCCCCTACGAGGCCTGTTGGTGACAGTGAGTCATTGGTGATGGTGACTCAGTGGCGGTGACTCGTGGCAGTGACTTTAGGTAGGTGCAGTGTCGGGGGAACTTGGGTAGGGTGCAGAGGGGGGTGCAGACAGGGCGGGCCCCGCTTCATGCAGGGGCCACAGAGCGAAGCCGCTGTGGGCTCCCTCTCCGTCTTGAGCTCTGAGCACGTGTTCCGGCATGTTCTGGGCCTGGGAGCCAGCTTGCAGGGCGACGGGGCTGAGCCCTGAGCTCCTCTGTGGCGACCTGGGGGCCTGGGTGCGGCCGTCCTGGCAGAGCAGCTGTGGCGCGGGGTCCGAGGTGGCCACCGGGGGTTGGCTCCGTGTGCCTGCCGGCGCCACACCCGGGCACGGTCACAGCAGAATTAGCGGCCCACACCATGTGGCCCATCTGCGTAGGTGTCACGTGCCTGACGGCGACAGGCCGGCACGCAGAGGGGCTGCTTCTAAGGTGTTTGTCCCCAGGAGATCTGGTGATGTGTTATAGGGTACGTGAGACCCAAAAGGGCCAGACTGGAACTCGGAGCTCCTGGACAGAGGCTGGAAGGCCCCCCAAGTGGGGAGCTCTGAGAGTCCGAGGGGTGCAGAGACGCCACCTCCCGTGACCCCACAGACTTGCCAGGCCTGTCCCGAGGCTGCAGGTCCCTGGAGCGGAATGCTTTGTCGCTGCTCCTCACCTCGCACGTGGGGGCCCCGTTACGTGGCCGTGGCAGCCTGTGTGCGTGAGGCACAGGGCTTGACCCTGTGGCCTGGCCGTTGAGCAGGTCCCTGCAGAGAGAGCCATGTGCTCGGTTGGAAAGCGTCCCGTTCGTCATGGACGAAGGTGCGGATGTGGCGTCTCAGAAGCTGTGCCCCCCGCGCCTGCTGTACCCGGGACAGGGCACCTGCCTGCAGCAGCCCAGGGGCAGGCGGAGCTGCCTGGCTCCCCTCTGACGTCACCGGACTACGTGTGTGGGCTCCCCTTGGGGCGCCTGTCATGTCCCTGGGAGGCAGGGGAGCAGTGGCGGCCTTCTGTCTCTTGCCAGCTGGCAGCGATGGCCCTCTGTCCCCTGCCGGCCGGCAGCGGTGGCCCTGTGTCCCCTGCCGGCCGGCGTGGGTCTGGGAGCTCTGCTGTGTCCAGGCTCTTGGCGGGGATTCTGGCCATTGCGGGCGTGTGGGGGGACGCAGGTGGCACACGGAGTGAGGCCGCGATTCAGCCTGTGCATCCCGCGTGGACGAGGCCCCAGTGCCTAGTCTCTCTCTCTCTTCCCACCAGCGGTGCCTCTCACTGCTGAGCTGTGATTCTGGCTTCGGGTGAGGGGGCTGCCTGGTGTGGAGCGGGGGAGACACCCTGCATCGGCACCTGCTCTTCCGCGGGCTCCCCGGGCCGAGGCGCTGCTCCTGCCACACGTGTGGACTGTGCCTGGGGTCAGACCATCGTCCGGGGGACGGGGAGCTGTCTGGCTGGGGGCGCTGGAGCTCGTCCAAGCCCCGGGGGCACCCAGCCCCGGTCCCGCCTGTCTGGGGCAATATTCGACCTGGTGGGCAGGACATGCAGCCCATGTCGGGTCCTGCTGCCGGCTAGGGCGGCCTTAGGGCTCCACCCACGCCCCACCTGGCCCAGTTGCCCCAGCTCACCAGGACAGTGTGACCCTGACACGGGTCCGGGCCCCGGGCAGGCGGCTTGGGGGCCTTGCCGAGGCCCACACCCCACTCTCCCTCCTCTTGTCCCCTGACGAGAGCTGCCGCCCTGCCCTGCCCCTCGGGGGCACCCACAGCGGTCCCCGCTCCTCCAGGGCCACCCTGCCGCCCTCAGAATGAAGCCCCCGTCACCCCCTCAGGGACGTCCTTGCCACCCCACAGCTCTTCCAGGGCCCGTGTCCCCCACTCCTGGGGAGGCCGCTGGGCCGGCTGCAGGTGACCGGGCATGTGGCCCAGCACCCTCGGGAGACCCTCAGGCCCCTGCCCAGCCTGGCCTTTCTACGGAGTGGGGGGAATTAGGGGCGCATACAGACTCTGGTGTTCAGCCCCACCTCCCACGTGGGGGAGCCAAGGCAGCGAGGCCCGGCCTAGAACCAGCAGCCCTTGGCCTCCAGCAGCCCGAGACCCTGTGCTGTGTTCCTCGAGTGGCAGGGCCCCTGGGTTGGGTGGCTCAGTCAGATGCCGTTTGGGGAGTTCCTGCCACAGGCTGTGTCAGCGCTAGGTCCTGGCAGGGAGGAGCCGCCCTGTGTGACAGGCCCTGCTCCGGCCGACCAGGCCCCCAGCCCGCGGTGTGTCCATGGCTGTGCGCCAGCTTTGCGGGCTGGGCTGGGGCCAGTCGCTCTCCCAGACGCCGTGGGGCAGACGGCTGCGCGGGACATCCCGTGGGGTGGACAGCTGGTGACACCGCTTGCGAGGCTCGGGCCCCGTGTGGGTGTGGGCGGCCGGTGGTCTTGTTGGAGGGACGCAGCGTGTCTCAGGCTCGCTGTGGCCGCCTGGCTCGTCGTGCTGTTGGTGCAGGGTCCCCTGGGCTCTGGCCTGTCCCACCGTCGTGGTGGACGTCAGCCGGTCCTGCCTGGCTCCTCTGGATGGGGCGGGGCTGGGACCCGGTGGCCACACTGGCTGGTGTCCCAGGCACAGTGTGATGTCGGCAGGGGACCCGCTTGTCCACTCTCAGGAAAGGACGGCTGCGGCCACACACGGCCCTCGTCAGGG